TGACTTATTCAAACCCAACCCAAGATATTCATCAACGAAGGGCAATTGTCCACCGATGCAATACCACCCCAAGTGTATTGGGAAAGAGGGGATCATGGAAGAGGGATCGCTTCTAGTTCATTTGTAACGTCCGGACCTGCACATTCCACCGGTCCTGTCAATGTCAAATGTTTCATACCATTCTAGTCCAATACAAGGGTTTTATACATCAATGCGACAATGCTATCAGACTCGACGTATGCTAAATATGTCTTGATGTTGACTGAGACTGCTAGACCATATCCATTTAGTTATCAACTCTCTGTTCACCGCCGTAATTTTTCAGATTTTCGTCATTTCCATTTAATGATGGGATTGTTGATCAAACACCTCAACAATCATTATTTTTATTAGATCATCATATGTCACTATTATACTTATCAATAAACGATGATGTTAGGCAAACTGCAAACGACGATGATAATAATAATGATGTGAAGATTCTGATGATGAACCTCCAACATGAAAAAATTCAACACGTAATCGACAATTATCGTGTTGTGGAATCGATGGACATCAAATTTATCCGTTAACATGTGTATTTTTCCTTAGAGTATTTTTTAATAATATTTTTAATATCGTTCAAAAATATTTTTCGATTTTCTTTTGTAAAAATCGTATTTTTACTGTTAAAAATGGCATTTCTGTTTTATATATTATAATCGAGGAGGCACCCAAACAATATTTCTTTTCGGTTCATCGGATACATTCAATGACATCCATGATGGTGGATGTGCCCACTACATCAGTTCAGTCAGTGTCTTCCACTGATAGATTCGTTAAGAAAATACTTAATGTAAAAATAATTGTTTAAATTATACTCAAAATTAATTTTAAGTGTTTAAAGATTTCTTTTATTAAAAATATGTATTTAACATATCCGAGTTATATTTTTTTGTGTCTGTCATTAAATTTGATTTTTAAGTGACACGTGTCATACTTATAAAAATATAAAAAAAATATTTAAAAAAATTAAAATTTTATATACTTACGTTTTACTTAACTATCAAATTTAATAATATTAACGATCCAAACACTTAAAAGTGTAACATTAAAAACATTAAACACTTAATTTTAATACAAAATTCTTTAGATACTTTAAGTATAATTTAAACACCTATTTTTACATCAAGTAGTAAAGAAAAAGCTCTCCTCCGTGTTAATTGATTTTCTTTTAAACACTACGTTTTGATAGATTCAAATGGACCACAAATTAGCAGCAAAACATATCAACCACCAGCATTTTAACAATCCTGTGGAAACCGTTTTTCATACGGGCAAGGAACGACTTTGGGATTTTCTTTGAATTTTTTTGAAATGTTTTGAAGTCACAATCGAACTTTTGAATTAGATAAATCGAATACCTAAAATTTTCTTTTAAAATAATTTTTAATAAAATATATTTTTAAAAGATAAATTAGTATACGTATAACCAAATATTCATTATTTTTTGAAATAAGAAAAGGGTTCAAGAATAAATTACTTGTGGAGAAATATAAGTACCCCACAACGCTCAAAATTAGTACTCATTAATTATAAATTGTCTCTAATAGTAAAAATATAAGAATCCGAACATAAATTTAAATTACGATCTCATTATTCTAAATTCAACAATACAATTTTTATTTAACGAAAAATTTAAAAAAAAAATAAAAATATTTTAATATTTATAATCGAAAAGAAAATAATCTCTGAAATACTTTAAAACGAATATTTATCTTTCCAACCGAAATAAAAAGAATATAATAATTTCTCCAAAGAATTCAAGATTAAAATAAATTTATTCGACCAAAATGAATATAACTAAAGTAGACATTCAATTTTTTTTTTGGTTTTTCTAAATAGGGTATTTATTTATTTTAAAATATCAAAATAAGATATCTAGTTAATTGAAGACGATACTTTCTAAATATTTTTAAAATAAATAAATATTACCTTTAATCCAATTATAAAATCAATCCAATTATGCTTATGAGACTTTCATATATATTTATAGTATTAAAATGGGATGAACATAAAATAAAGAACAATAATTAAAGTACTAAATTTAAAGTATAGAAAATAAAGGACAAAAATGAAAATAAAATAAAAATAGTAACCAAATTACAATTGAATAATGACCAAAATATAATTAAAAAACAACATATCAAAAATTAAAATAAGACAAAATGTAAATAAATGACAAAATTGTGAATAAACCAAACATCATATTAAAATAGAGTATAACAAATGACCAAAACATTAATAAATAAAAATAGTATATCAAAGTTAAAATAAAATAAAATGTAAATATGACTAGAATAGAAATAAAATAAAATTAATACATCAAAGTTAAAACAAATAAACTATTAATAAATGACCAATATACAAGGAAACAAAAACAGAAAGTCAAAATTAAAATATCTGGAATATAGATAAATGACCAGAACAAAATGCAACAAAACCTGCAGGCTTAAATCAAAACTAGCAAATAAAGATGAATCTAGTGACCTAAATGTAAAATAAGGTAAGATATAAAGGATCTAAGGGGGATTTTCCCACGAACAGTTGACCAAATACATATGCTAAAGACAAGGATCACACAGCAATTTACCCATAAACTAGTGACCAAAACACAATTGGATTCCTAAAGTTAAAGAACCTAGGGGTAATTATACCACGATGGTGACTGAAACGCAAAACACGCTAAAGTAGCAGGGACCTTAACGTGATTTTGCCTAAAATCGCAATAGAAATTCTACTTCCTTCCCCAATTTTAATTCTACCCGAAAATCCCTAACTTCCCATCTCTTCTCCTCTTCCCCTCTTCACTCACGCGATGGCCATGGCAGCCGACCCTCTGACGAGCCGGCGTCAGCGACGCCTCGGCCACCCTATGTGGGTGGTCATTCCTACTCCGGCCGGTAGCTTACGAAACGTGGGGAACACCAAGAAGAAGACAGCCCCTAAACCACAACCTACGCCATCTCTACCCTCGCGCGAGAGCCATACCGAAGACCGACCACCATGCACGGTGGTCTTTTGACTCTAACTACACCTATGAGTCTACACTCTCCCCGGCGACCCTATCTCTCCGACGAACCCAACGGCAGCAAGGTAAGTTTCTAACCCCTATCTCTTTGTATTTTTTTTAAAACCTTGAACTAGCATAGAACGAAAGAAAATAAAAATAAATTATAATACCTTAAAATCTTAGGCTTTGATTTTTATTGCTGAGTCAAAGTCCCCCTTTTGTGTTACATTTCAATCGGGTTTTATAACCCATTACAGTAGGTATTAACAAAATAAAAAAAAATTCTGATATTGCTTTGAATTTGGTTTTGCTGTGTTGCAGGGGATAGGCTGCCGTAGCAGTTGGAGTACGTGGCAGCAGCAGTCGGTGGTGCAGGGCATGGGCACGGGTGCATGGTGCTGGTGGCAGCTTCACGTGGGCATGGTATGGCCTTGGCAGTGATGATGATGATTTTTTTTTTTATTATTAGATAAAAATTGGTGTTTACAAATCCACAAAAGTCCACACCATAACCCAAATGTAAAATAAAAAAGGCGTACAAGGAACTTGAATCGAACAATTAAAACTGCCACCAGCTAAAAACATTGTACCATCAAACAATCACCAAAGAACAACCAATAAATGGATGATCAATGGTCTCATGACTTCATCGCTTCCATCATTTCTTCATCATCGTAATCAATGAGAAACGATGGAAGCGATGAAGTCATGAGACCATCTTTTCTGATTGATGAAAAGAATTATCTCTTGGTTTCGTCTTTGGTGTCATCTCTTCCGGTTGTTCAGTGTCGTGTTGAAGGTTTAGTTTCGAGGGCAATGACTCAATGAGGTGTGATATGGGTATGATGAAGAAGATAATTCTGATGTAGTTGCCTTTAATGATGTCTGTCGGGATAGAGAAGTTTCCAGAAATTCAATTGAGTTTTGTTTTCAAGCGTGGCTTCACTTTTTGATTCTCTACAAAGAAATTGCTGGAGTATCCATTGAATTGCTTAGTGGCTGTTGGCAATGAGGTTCTACAATATTTGAGATGGTCTCCTCCAAAGGTTGGTTAATTGAAACGTAGATGGGACAGCCTAAGAGGAAGCAGCAAGCTCTGGGGGAGTTCTTAGAACAGAACCGGGGGCTGTTTTACTTTGTTTCGAGACATGCACCGTGCTTAGGTTGTTGTGTTGCTAGTTTGGTCTTGTTTTGCACCTTGATGGCTTTCGTATTTTCAGGAATTTTGTTCACAGGGGAATGGTCGTTTATGCTAGGTGTTCTTATTTGTTGTTAAGAGTTTGGTTCTCATGAAGTTTTATTCTATATTTTCAGTTGATGGGGGAGTAATTAGTAAGGATATTGTTTTGCAACCTTGGTGTTTTGTCGTTTCTAGTAGTAGGTTGTAGGGAGTGTTCGATTTGGTTGGGTGCAACTTTGTTTGTGTTGATCTTATTGGGTCCTATTTTCTGTATTGTCGGAGATCTGTCTGATGTCAATGTCGAAGCTCCCTTCTAACCTGAACTTTTCTCTAGGCGTAGACGTTTTCTTCGTCCCCACTAAACAATTCTGAAATTTTATTACCGTACTAGGCTCGACAGTAGGAAATCATCTAATCATTGTAGAGCTCATTGAGCATCAACTACACTAGAGAATCTCACAAAATCAAATACTATTTGTCTATCGTCATTGTTTGCTATACACGTCAATAGCATTGACATGTTCAATTGCAAAAATATCATTAATTTCAATAATATAATCTTTCAATGAATTTCCATAGACGTGCTCAATAACAATGCAGATATATTAAATTGCATACTCAAAATCCAACATCATTATTAATTAGTAAAACAATCAAAATCCAAAATCATTATTAATTAGTATAACAAACAAATCTCCTTTCCTATCACTTGAAGAAAATGCAAGGTTTAGTACTTCCTTGTATGAAGTTGTTGATTGAGAAGCATATCTAAGTTCGAACCACACAATGTAATTGAGGTGGACGAAGTTTGTCCCTAATGGAACAAAGTTTGGTCACAACATTACTCATGTCCATCCGTTCACTCGGCGATTCAGCAGAACAAGCGAGTCCTATCTCGAGTACCGAATTCAAGCACCAAAAGAGTTCTCTGTTTCCCAAACTGTTTCCACTAAGAGTAATGTCTAGGATGTTTCCTTGTCTGACTCTTTCTTGAAAAAGAGTGGGATCTACAATCTTGATCATTTGTTTAGGCAAATCTGCCTTAACAAAGTTGTGCAGATTTAAACCTTCTTTGAATCTTTCATCGGTCGGCCTTTTCCCTATAAACATCTCTAGTAAGAGGATTCCATAGCTATACACATCACCTTTTGTTGACAACTCTCTTCCCATACCATATTCTACAATTTTATTAATCACAAGTTACATATAAAATAATTGCAAAAAAAACCCTCTAAATATACAAAAACTGGTTTTAGATAGTACACTTTGCTTTTAAATAATGGAAAATAAATATATTGAACTTACCTGGTGGTGCATAACCAATAGTTCCTCTTATTCCAAGGGAGCTTGACTGATTACCAGGATAGCTAAATCCATCCACAGAAAGGAATTTTGTTAAGCCAAAGTCACTTAGATGGCCAACCATTTCCTGATCAAGTAGAATATTGCTTGGCTTGAGGTCACAATGAATTGTCGATGTTCCACAACGATGGTGCAGATATTCTAGTGCATGAGCAACATCTATTGCCACGTTAACTCTTTGAAAGAAGTTCATGTTTCTCTTCGTCTCTGGTTCATTCATGTGAACAGATGGATGCAACCAGTCCTCCAAGGTTCCATTTTCCATGAACTCATAAACCAAGGCTTTAAAATCATTGCCTTGATAATCAATACCTGAAATGGCTGTTAATACCTTGACTATATTCCGATGTCGAATATTTTTCAAGGCCTCACATTCAATCAAGAAACTCCTGGAAGCTCCATGGTTCAGAAGATTAAGCACTTTTACTGCTATAACGGCTCCACTTTCTTCAAGAATTCCTTTGTACACAAAACCAAAACTTCCTGAACCGACCAAATTATGTGAAGAGAATCCATTAGTAGCCCTTAAGATGCTTTGATACGATAACTGTAAAAGCGAATTTTCTGTATAAATTGCTATTGGCCGTTGCTTTTTCTTCTTTTTGAACCACAAGATGAAGAGACTAGTGAAAACCAAAGTCACTCCAAAAATCACAACAACAACTACAATTTTTAATCTGAGGTATTGACCAAAGTGCAGAGAAAGTCCAAGTCACCTTCTCTCCCATTTCCCAAATGATTTCCGTTTAAGAGAAGACTGGACAGCTTATCCAACTTTCCTAACAAAGGCACACTACCACTGAGTCTGTTATTATCAAATTGAACTGCATTCAAATTTGAGGCATTGGATATTGAAATCGGAATTTCTCCAGAGATTTGATTCCCCCATATGGAAAAGAAATCAATAAATGGCATAGTGATTGCAATGTTAGAAGGAAGAGTACCTTCAATCTTGTTTCCACCAATTTCAAAGCTTCTAATATTGGAGAGGTTGAACATCGCAGCAGGAACTACACCAGAAATTGCATTTTCTTCTACTGCAATAAAAGAAAGATTCTTCAGTTGTCCAAGACCTTCAGGTATGATCCCGGTTAATGCATTCCTCCTCAAAACAAGTGCCTCCAAGGATGACAAGTTCCCGAACGATGGCGGTATACTTCCGCTCAAACTGTTGTCAAAATTCAAGACTTAGAGGTTTGACAAGAGACCAAGCAATTCAGGTATTTCTCCTGTTAGCTGGTTGCTTCTCAAACCAACAGATTTAAGCTTCAAACAAGCGGATAAATTGGAAGGAATTTCACCACTGATGGAGTTATTGGATAGCATTAATCTTTCCAATCTCGTCAAACGACCAATTTCTTGAGGAATGTTGTTGTAGAAGCTATTGCCCTCAAGATTCAATTCCCTTAGGAAGCTCAAATTTCCTATGTACGGTGATAAAGATCCCGATAGTCTGTTGAATTGCAGTTCCAACTTAGTGGCTCTCCGATGTTCGCGACCACATGTAACGCCATGCCACCAACAGAAGTGAACGGAACTATTCCAAGACTCCATAACCCCGAGCTGATCACCGGTTATCATGGCTTTGAACTGGAGTAAAGCTTGTTGATCAGTGTCATTTCCTCTATCCACAGGAGTTTCTGCTAAACCAAGCAAGTTAAGACCCTGCATGTTGAAGCATGAGAGAAGAATTATAACTTCAATGTAAACAAGGAGAAAAAAGCTGGATAGCTCCATGATCATGAAACAATTTCTTAATTGATGAGATTGATTTGTATATGAGAAGGCTTGTGGATCATCATCAAGAAACAGAGTGCAATATAAATAGTTTCTGAAATCTGATCCTCGTCAAGAATAGAGTCGACAGACTTGACTGAAAGCAACAGGGAAAATTAGAGAACTATTGTATCTTCAACCTCAGTTTTATTATATAGTTGAATGACACGCAACCATTTATTAATTAATTACCAAGCAATATGAAAGCGAAGATGTTACAGAAAAAAATCCAAATATTATAGGATACATGTACTAAAACTGATTCTATGGAGCCTTTTATTAAGAATTTGTGTTTTTTAATTGTATTTAGATAATCTAATCTGATATAAATAATACAGAAGAGGTTGACTGATATATTATATATATTTTTGGAAGAAAAGTTCAATACAGACACCTATTTTATTAAAGACAATCATTATCAGTGTACAACAACCATTTTAAATCATCATATTCAATTCCACTGAAAAGCATTTCATAATAATTAATTTCAAGAACATTCAAAAAACCAGAAAACAAATTTATCTTCCCTTTCAATACAACTATACAAACACGTTTTACAGAATTCCGGGACTTGTTCTTTTATTATGAAATTCTAATACTAAACCAGAGCTGGAAGCCATAATGATCAGATTCGTGCTTTTTCCTGGAAAATGGTTCTTTACCAAATGTGAAATCTCACATATTTAAAAACAATAATATATTGCCTTACCTCATGGTTTTACACCGTGATTATCATCTGGCATGCAAGCTGGTAGGGGATTCACTTGGCAATAGAATCTGAACTGGAATTACTGCTTGTAGCATTACGTACATGATGCTGGAATATTCGTCATCAATGTTGTAAATTACTAGGAATATGTTGCCTTATATTCTAGTCAAGACAATATAAAATCTGAAAATTTTCCTAACAAAAATTTTAATTGTCGATTAAAAGTAAGAAATTTAGTTTGAGTAGATCTCTGCTACGCAAGTCTCGTTTGTAATCAAGTAATTATCTATATAAACATATATTAAAGATTAAAATTAGGAGTTAAGCCGTTCTCGCAAATTATCTTGTATTCTTCCTTTTTGGTATCAATGAAAATTGCTTACCACAAACCAATAAATACCAAATAAAAAAAACTACTATATGTGTCCATCATCTTCGTTAGCGAGGGGATGGGATGAGCCAAAGCGGTGGAGATAATGAAGAATAGAGTAAGTGTTGCACATCTTTGGACTTTGGGAAAAGCTCCACTACCTCATACGAAAAATACATATTAAACTTATCAAAATCCTTTAAATTTTGACAATTGTAGATGCCCATATCTGAGCCCCTGCTTCTATAGTCGGGCACTGTTTCTTCATCCGTCAAGTAAATACAATTAGGTCTACAACCACGATAATCGGCAGCATCGATGACAAAAGTGCAACAATTTCCCAAGAACAAGGAGCTATTACCTAATGAGAAGATCTTCTCCCAGTTCCTTGTGTGCATATCTAGTTTGAAAATCTCAAATCCAACTGTTACAAAGTGATTAAACCTTCCATGTTTATCTTCAACGTATGGTACAGCCTCGCGACATGCCAAACAAAGATTTCCACCGAAATCGAACAGATATTTCCCAGGGTAAAATGTAGCTGGAGGTGGAGGGGCGAATTCCTCGGCTTTTGGAGGAGTAGAATATATATTTTTGCATACAAAAATCTTTCCTGCATATGTACAATAATAGACTCTACCCTTGAAAAAAATGGCATCATCTGCTAAACAGACATGATGAATCGGAGACCATGCTTTATCCCCGACCCTTGCAAAAGCTAAGCGCATATCCGAATAAATTGCTAGAACTATGCAATTAGAGCCTGCTTTTTCAGGAGTCGAAGATAATATCACTTTGATTAAAAAAGACTTAAACAAATCTTCATTTGTATATGCTCTCTTTCCAGGGTCCGGGAAGGTAAGTAGTGAAGGAAGGGGAAGGCTGACTCTTGACAAAGGATTGAACAGTTGAATTTGGAGATCGAGGCCACATGTTACCAACCAACCAAAAGGACTTCCCCAACATCTCCTTCCTCGTATCTCCGGCAGATCCAGCTCTATGAAGATATCTCCTGATACATTGTAAATACAACGTTTGTCACTGTCCTCTTCCTCTGCTAGCAATAAACAAGCAGGGAAGTTGAGTTTTCGATCTGCCAGAGAAGCTTGCCAAGACCGACAAACTGCAGACATACGAATATGATCACAAACAGTGTGAGTCTTATTTGCAATATATCTCACAAGTTCTCTTAATATAGTAGCCCAATCTGGGATGACTCGGTCGAATAATTCTTCTTGCATCGAAAACATCATGATGAAGTATAAAAAATTTATTTGTTAAGAGCCTAAGTGGGTTTGATTGTTGGTTCGACTCTCTTCTAAATCTTTATATAGTGTGATAAAAAAAGACCCTAATCTGATTGTAGTTAAGAATTGAAAGAAGTTAAGAATAGAAAGAGTTCTTTTCTCTCAAAGTGTATGAAATAAAATAATATTTTTAAATTAAATTTAAACAAAGTAAAACACTCTTATTTCTTACTCTTTTTATGTTTAATTACAACCCCATAATTTTCTTTTTCGCATCCTTCCTTTTTATATTATTCTTTTAAAAATTGATAAATGAGGGATATAAAGTAGTTGTATTGAATCATTGAAGTTACAGCAAGCAGTGAAGAAATATATACACGTAGAGTCCTAGAATACAACCACCACTGGAAAGTTATCACATAAGAGAAATAATAATTTCATTCAAATACATTCAAATATTAGAAATAAGATAATTAAAGGCATTATCGCTGATCTCTGACAAATTTAAATGAACAAAGGGTTGGCATATATAATTATTAATCTCAATTTTTGTATTTTTAACTTCAAAATTGTATAACTTTATTATTCTCAAATAAACTGTTGCGTTTTTAATACTAATATGGTTATATAGCATTGGAAATGAATAAAGAGAATGTATTGACCTTTATTTTTTCAAAGCAATGGAAATCTTAATATACTAATTTTTATTTATATTTTTATAAAATCCTAAAATTTTAATGTTAAAAATTTTAATATTGTGATTTTGATCACAAATATTTGAAACCAATAAAAAAATAACTTTTGAGACCATAAACCTAACAAACATCTCTCGGATTAACCTTATTTTCTAATAAGCTCGTCATCAATTAGAAATTAATTTAATGGATACGTACAGATATATACCTCATGCTTTATTTAGTTAATGAATCCCAATTAACATTAATCATATTAGATCACTGTTAACTTGAATTAATCATTTTTAATGATAAATATTATATGATTATTATTTATTACATTTATACCATGCCCATATAATCTAACATAACTTTCATAAAAATATGTAAGAAAATACATTGAAATAATACCACTTAACGCTCCTACTCACATTCAACTTACAAGAATTAGTCGATTAAGTCTTACTTCGATTGACTATATTGCTAAAGTGTTTCAACTCGTTTTCAGCAGCACCACTCTTATAACACCACAACATACATCGTCGATATAATATTCATTGTATATTATTTCACTTGTGTCGAGTTTGATACAAGATTATTACATATTAATGCTATCGGATCATATTTTGCTTCATACATATCGTATCTGATAGGCGCTCCTCCTCCCTCAATGCCATCACAGCTAATTCAGCCAATCCAACCAATTATATTTTTAAAATTTTCGCAATTTGTATTCGAGGGCAAGATTATTAATAAGACACCTATATATTCATTATTCTTCACATGTCATCCATCATCGTTGATACTAACAACACATATTAACGCTTATAATATCGGATAAAATGTCAGATTATGCTTAGTTGAGCTTTTAAGGTGGTGCAGATTAGAGTATGCGTTAACTCGTGTTATAAATAATGTATTTTAGGTAAAATGACAAAATAGCAGAGCTGTGGCATTTCAAATAATGGGTCGGGGTTACGTTACGGACTAATGCTGGTTTCAGGCATGGTCCACAAAGAAAAATGGGAAAGCAAAACAATTAACCGACTCCGCTGGGGATCGAACCATAGCATAGCATTATAAATTCCTATAAACTACTAATTTTATTATCATTTTCAAAACTATTAAGCATAATACAAATACATAATGACAAGATTAGTACCAAATGTTTGTATAAACGTCACTTTATCTTCTATTCTTTTTTTTTTGGGAGTATTGTATCTTATAATATTTTAATTTTTGATCAAAATAATCTCTGTTCGATGAAAATCGTTTGTTGGCTAACAACCAATACATGTTGTTAACGTGGCTTTTTTATATTTTTAAAGTCAAATTTTTATTGGAGTTTGTATTTTAATGTATGTAATTTATGATTGAATATTAACGTGTTAAAAGTTTGACAACTCTTTTCATTGTACTTTAATCTAAATCTTTATTTGGTCTATGTACTATTTTTTTCTCATTTTATTACCCTTTCAAGTTCATGTCTGGATTCAGAAACTTGGAATAAGATTAGATCTAGTCGACTTACATATGAAGATGATCACATGGGAAAGCTACATTTGCTGATGCTTGATGAAAGTGAAAATTATCGATTACTTATGAATCAAAGACTTTATAGAGTATTTGTTTATTTCAGCATGTGTCATGACCATGTCACCATGTTTATTAGAAGGCCAACGAAATTACAGATTTCATGGCCAATTTGTCTGGCTGCAAAACTATGTTTCCCATGTGATAATATCCATAGCTTATGTTTATAGATCTAATGCAAATATTATTAATTTCGTCAATACAAAATTCCCAGGGATAGCTATTGACATGTTCCATAGCAATTCTAATACAACAAAACAGACTCAAAATCCAACTTTATTTATCTCAACTATCACTTAAAGAACAAACAATGATTTTCCAACAAGCACTTTGGCTGCAACTTAAGTCCATCCTTGTGGCGGCACCTTAGATAACTGCAATTTAATTAAACAAGGAACATGTTCCATAGCAATTCTAATACAACAAAACAAACTCAAAATCCAACTTTATTTATCTCAACTATCACTTAAAGAACAAACAATGATTTTCCAACAAGCACTTTGGCTGCAACTTAAGTCCATCCTTGTGGCGTCACCTTAGATAACTGCAATTTAATTAAACAAGGAAATCTCTTAAGCTTCTCCATATCATCTGAACACAATATTTTGTTAAGATGGGATCATAGGAATATTATTACCTGTTGATTCAGCAGCATATTTAAGTTCGAACCTCACGACGTAATCAAGTTGGATGAAGCTTGTCTCTAATCGAACAAAGCTTGGCAACAACATCACTCATGTTGATCCGCTCAATTGGTAATTCATAAAAACAAGCAAGTCCTATTTCAAATATTGGAATTAAGCATTGAAGATGTCTCTCATTTCCCAAGTTGTTTCCACGGAGAGTAATTTCAATGATCGTTCCTCGTCTAACTCTTTCTTCAAGAAGAATAGGATCTATAATCTCGATCATTCGTTCAGGCAAAGCTGCCTTAACAAAGTTGTGAAGAGTGAAACCTTCTTTGAAGTTTTCATCGATTGGCCTTTTCACCGAAAACATCTCTAGTAGAAAGATTCCATAGCTATACACATCACCTTTTGTTGACAACTCGCTCCCCATGCCATATTCTATAATTAATTCACAAATCACATATACAAATAGTTGCATAGAAACCCACTAAATATAAAAAATGTTTTTATATTGTATGTTTTTCTTTTAAATAATGTAAAAATGAATAGTGAATTACATGGTGGAGCATAACCAATAGTTCCTCTTAATCCAAGGGAGTTTGACTGATTAGTAGAATAGTTAAGCATATCTGCAGAGAGGATTTTTGCCAAGCCAAAATCACTTATATGGCCAACCATTTCCTCATCGAGTAAAATATTGTTTGGCTTGAGGTCACAATGAATGATTGATGGTACACAGTGATGGTGCAAAAATTCGAGTGCATGAGCAACATCATTAGCCACGTTTACTCTTTGGAAGAAGTCCAAGTTTCTTATCGTCTCGGGTTCATTGATACTGGTAGATGGATGCAGCCAATTCTCCAAGCTTCCATTTGCCATGAACTCATAAACCAATGCTTTGAAATCATTACCTTGGTAATCAGCACCTGAAATGACTGTTAATACCTTGACAAGATTCCTATGTCGAATACTCTTTAGCGTCTCACATTCAGCAAAGAAACTCCTGGAAGCTCCTCGATGAAGAAGATTAAGCACCTTTATTGCAATAGCTTCTCCACTCTCTTCAAGAACTCCTTTGTATACATAACCGAAGCTTCCAGATCCAAGCAAATTTTGCACGGAGAATCCATCGGTAGCCTTTAAGATGCTCTGATATGATAACTGAAAAAGAGAATTTTCTGCACAAATTGTTGTTGATTGTTCATTCTTCTTTCGAAACCGCAAGATGAGGAGACAAGTGAAAATCAAAGTCACTTCTAAAATCGCAACAACGATTGCAATTTTGAGAAAAGAGTTTGATACTTTGGTTGATTTTTTTGAGTTACATCTGGACAAGTTTAAATCAGGGATCCCTCCGCAAAGCTTATTATTTCCCTCAATATTTGTAGCACTTGCATTCTTAAAGATTCCTTCACTTGGTATCATTCCCTCAAAATCATTGAAAGAGAGATTTAAATACTTTAAAGCCCTAAAGCTCACAAGAAATTCTGAAACCGTACCTGAAATATTATTGTCAGATAAGTCCAATGCCTCAAGACCTCTCAATGAACTCTAAGATGAAGGAATTGACCCTTCAAACAAATTGCCATCCAAGAACAACTTCTCTAGACTTACACAACTACCAAGGTCTTTTGGAAGTAAACCAAATAAACTGTTGTGAGAAACATCAAATGTTCCTAGATTTTTAATGTTTTTTACTTCAACAGCAAGCTCACCAGTCAAATAGTTTGATGATAAATTTAGTGCAATGGATAAGGATGACAGTCCAAGTACCTGAGGGGGAATGGTTCCACTAAGATTATTATTAGAAAGATCGATTACAAGCAATTTTTGGCACATACCTAGATTTGAAGGGATGTTGTCTTGAAGATTGTTTAAAGATAAATCAAGTATAATTAAGGCTGTTAAATTTCCAATAGAATGGGGAATAGTTCCAGAGAGAAAATTATGAGAAGCAAGAAATATATTTAGGTTCTGAAGCTTCCCAATACCAGAGGGAATGAGACCTGATAGTTGATTATATTCTACAAATAGTGACTCCAAATTGATCAGACTACCAATCCCATCCGGAATGCTTCCCAATATTTTGTTGCATTTCATTTCTAGTTTCAAAAGGGTGCTAGAAAAATTGCTAATGCATTCGGGAAATGCCCCTCCAAAGTTATTATTGTTCATAAGTAGAATTTCTAGTTTGGTTTTATTGACTAAAGTGCATAGAAAGTTCAAGTCACCTTCTCTCCCATGTCCCAAATGGTTCCCGGATAGGAGAAATCTGAATAGATTATCTAGCTTTTCCAACGAAGGCACGTTTCCGCTGAGTCTGTTATCTTGAATTTGAAGTACACTCAAACTCGAGGCATTGGATATCGAAATCGGGATTTGTCCAGAGATTTGATTGTCCCATACGTTAAAGAGCTCTATATATGGCATAGTGATTCCTAAGTTAGAAGGAAGAGTACCTTGGATCTTGTTTTTGTTGGGGAAAATGAGTTATTTCCCACACGAACGTAGTTTTAAAATTGACCTAAAATGTCAAGATTAAAACCACCAAAGGTTGCACAGCGGATAAACCTGTCAAACTATTGAATATTGAAACACAATGGAAAAGAACCGAATAAAAACAATAAAGGAGAGAACACACCAAATTTACGAGGTTCGAAGAGAATATCGTCTACTCCTCGGGCACCATACCAGATTATAACTTCATTATACCGCCAATATTACAATAAATGGAATTCTTTAGAATTCCCAAAGGGGAGAATGAAGAATACAAGAGGAATTGAGAACTTGTTTTTGGGATGATTTCTAATGGAAATACTTAGGCCCATTTATAGTTGAGTTTTAAGAACAATATGTTCAAAGTTTGGCCACCTACCAAAGAATTTTCCAATGTGTACAAGTTAGCCACCAAATATAAAATTCACATGTTCAAAGTTTGACCACCAACCAAGATGAAATTTCCAATAAGTTGGCCACCAACCAAGATGAAATTTCCAACTTGTCAACTTAATTTCTAGACAAATCTAACAAATCTCCACCTTGGCTTGAAATTACCAAGCCTACTCAACTTCTTCATCTCCCCAAATTTGTAGTGCCTCTAATTGCGCTCACAAGCGCCACACACCCGAAGGTGTTAATACTTTCAGGATGTTAATCAAGTTCAAACAATAATTGAACTTGATTACTGTTACCACCTTGGTCATCATATCTGCAGGATTTTCTGATGTCGCAATTTTCTGAAGTAGAATCTTTCCTTCTTCAAAGATCTCCCGCACAAAGTGATACTTCACGTCAATATGCTTAGTCCTTGAATGGTAGACTTGATTTTTCGCTAAGTGAATAGCGCTCTGACTGTCACAATAGAGACTAATGTGACTTTGAACAACTCCCAAGTCTTCCATCAACCCGTTAAGCCAAATTGCTTCATTTACAACCTCTGAAACTGCCATGTATTATGCCTCTGTAGTAGACAAGGCCACCGTAGATTGCAATGTAGACTTCCAACTTATTGGGGCTTTAGCAAGAGTAAAAAAATACCCAGTAGTTGATCGACGCTTATCCAAATCACCAGCATAATCAAAATCAGCATATCCAACCACACACTGACCAAGTGCTTCATCCTGTTTAAAAACTAAACCAGCATCCACGATTTGTTGGAGATACCGTAGAATCCATTTCACAGCTTGCAATGTCCTTCTCCAGGATCATACATGTACATGCTCACAACTCCAACTGCTTGTGAAATGTCAGGACGCATACACACCATTGCATACATCAAGCTCCCAACTGCATTAGCATATGGAACTTTTGCCATATACACTCGTTCTTCGTTAGTTTTAGGAGATAATTGAGAACTAAGTTTCAAATGAGAAACCAATGGGATACTTGCATGTTTGGTATTTTCATTCATGCCAAAACATTGTAATACCTTTCTCAGATACTGCTTCTGTGTTAAACAAAGCTTCCCTCTCTGTCTATCTCTGCTTATCTCCATACCAAGAATCTTCTTGGCCTCACCTAGATCTTTCATCTCAAACTCTTGATTCAAATGAGCCTTTAATTTTTCTATCTCCTTTTGACTCTTCGAAGCGATCAACATATCGTCAACGTACAAGAGAAGATAAATTAAAGATCCATCTTTGAGCTTTTGCAAATACACACAATGATCATATTTGCTTATAGTATACTTTTGCCTCCTCATAAAGCTAGCAAATCGCTTGTACCACTGCCTCGGAGATTGCTTCAATCCATATAGCGATTTGTTCAGCTTACAAACCTATTTCTCACAACCACCATCTTTGTATCCTTCTGGCTGAGTCATATAGATCTCCTCTTCTAAATCACCATGCAAGAAAGCCGTCTTTACATCAATTTGAGCTAGCTCTAAATTCAACTGTGCTACCAAGGCCAACAATATTCTAATGGAGGAATGCTTCACAACAGGGGAAAATACTTTATTGTAGTCGATTCGCTCCTTTTGAGCGTAGCCTTTAGCTACCAACCGTGCCTTGTAGCGAACATCTTTCTTGCTATGAGATTCATCTTTCTTTACAAATACCCACTTGCATCCAATGGCTCTTTTACCTTTCGATAATTGTGCCAGTTTCCAAGTGTTGTTCTTTTCGAGAGATTGCATTTCTTCATCCATGGAAATTTTTCACTTATCACTTTCCAAGCTTTGTATTGCTTCTTGGTAAGTGATAGTGATATTGTTAGGATTTTCGGAAGCTCGAAACGACAACCAGAACGATTTGCAAAGAGGGGTCGGAACGGTTTTGTGTTTAGGGAGTAAGGAGATTGAAAGATAGAGAATTGCACAGCGATTTATAGTGGTTTGACTTTCTCAATCAAAGTCTACGTCCACTACCTTAGCTCCTCACCAAGGATTTTCCAACAAATTCACTAATTTGTTCTTTCTTTTGAGGACAAAGAGATAACCTTACAACTCCCTAGTTTTTCCGGGCTAAACTAGAACCTTTCCCTAGCTTTTACACGGGCTAAGCTAGAACCTTTCCCCTTTACAAAAGGATAAAAGATGTAAACAATAAAACATCTCTAAGGTAGGTGTTTACAAGAATTAAGCTCACAAGAACAAAATATTTACAAGAGAAAGATGAAATAAGAATGAAAAACTCTTCTCTTGTGTTTGATTACTTGGATAGTTGTTCTCATTCTTCTTCAAGTGTCCTTAGCTTGTATTTATAGCTTGGAATGTGTTTGAAGTCATATCTAGCCGTTGGGGATGTTTTGGAGCCGTTTGGGAATGATTTTTCTGTAAAAATAGGCTGCCCAGAATGGGGGGAATCGGTATCCCTTCATAGGGAATCGATACCCCTTCATAATATTCAAATATTATGACCGTTGGGCTGATGAACAGTGATGGAATCGGTACCCCCTTGGGGGGAATCGGTTCCCCTTTTACATACTGGAATTTATTCAAATAGTAATTTACTGTTCAAATAGTAAATTATTATTCATAAAAACATTTTTGTGCTCAATTTTAAATTAAAAGAACTTTGAATTATTTTTGTAAATTTTGAATAAATTCAATTAAGTCCAAATACATTTTGTAAATTTAATTCAAGTCCAAAAACCGTTTTGCCTTAAATTTTTATATCGAAACATAGTTCAACAGATATCATCATCAACAACTGGAAGAGCATAGGCCACCATATCAACAAATCGAGCAAGTCTACGAATTTCTCTCCTTGGCCTTGTAACTGCAAGTGGTTCTGGTGTCTCCAATGGTTCTTGGGTTTGAACCTCTTCATCTTCTGATTCTTCTATTGGAGTTGAAGAATCAGCTGCATCAACTTCTGGGATCATCGTCTGCTGAAACTCCACTTGTTTTGGAGTATGCTCCACCTGCTGCGGAGTACTACTTGTCTGGACAGCTTCACTTGTTACCTTGTTTACTAGGGCAGATTCATCAAAGGTAACATCTC